GCCTTAGGCATGAAAGCCAGCTGAGTGACTTTGGGCCAATCACCAGGAGATGGTGAGTTCTAGTTTTACCTTAGCCATGAAAGCTAGCTGTGTGACTTTGGGTCAATCACCAGGAGATGGTGAGTTCTAGTCCCGACTTAGACATGAAAGCCGGTTGGGTCAATCACTAGGAGATGGTGAGTTGTAGTTTCACCTTAGCCATGAAAGCCGGCTGGGTGACTTTGAGCCAACCACTAGAAGATGGTGAGACGGCGAGTTCTAGTCCAGCCTTAGCCACGAGAGCCGGTTGGGTGACTGGGCCAATTACCAGGAGATGGAGAATTCTAGTCCCTCCCTGCAGATTCAGTACTGTACCTCCCATAGCTATTTCAGCACCCACGCCTATGCGAGTGAGATCAAATTTAAGTCTGTGAGGAACTCTTAATTGTCAATCAGTTATGAAAGAGAAACGGATGACAGATACTTACAGGCAGTAGACAAAAATGCAACAACTGTAGATCATGGGCAGCTCGTCCAACAGCTGCAAAAAGCAGAACAAAAATAATTATTTGTGCGTATAGAGAAGATTCAAAGAAAGATGGCGGCCCCAAGTCAAAATGGTCAGAGCAGGGCAACTTTTCGCGAAAAGGGTCAGCATTAATTTTTTTTTTTTTTATGAGGGAGGGAACTGAGAACTGCAACGGAGAAGAAGATGCGTAGAAGTTGGACCCAAAGTCTTCCATATTGGAAGACTGCTATCACGTCACCCCTGGCCCTTCTTTTCATTAAACTAGACATACCCAATGCTTGCAATTGTTCTTTGTAAGTTTTAGCCTCCAGTCCCCTAATCATCTTTGTTGCTCTTCTTTGTACTCTTTCCAGAGTCTCAACATCTTTTTTACATCGTAGTGACCAAAACTGGATGCCGTATTCCAAGTGTGGCCTTACCAAGGCCTTGTAAAGCGGTATTAACACTTCACGTGATCTTGATTCTATCTCTCTGTTAGGGCTGCATTGGCTTTTTTGGTGGCTGCAACACACGGCTGGCTCCTATTTAAGGAACTGTCCACCAGACTCCAATTATGTATAGGCAGATTTTATTCTAGATTAGTCAATCCTTCTGTATTGTTGTCTGGACTCCTGGATAAAGTATTTTAACTATCCACAGCAGTTGTTACTGGCATATTTGGTTACTAGAGGTTCAAAATAACAGCCCGTCATCAATCCACTGCAAAACAAACTATGAATGCACCCCTACCCACCAAGCAGGAAAGCAAAAGGGATCCAGGCAGGTCACTTTGCAATGTACACAAAAGGTGCACGCTTTTTCAAGGGCTACTAACCTGCATCTCATACTTCAGGGTCATGTGGAAGCACCAGGAGCCCAGGCCCACGGCTGAAATCCAAATGAGAAAGGATTATACATACGTTGTATATAGTATGTTTTAGGTGTGTGTCGTGTGTGTGTTTCACTTTGAGAGCGGGCAACTAAATTTCACTTTTGACGCGCGCCGTTGTGCCCGCAGTAAAAAAAAAAAAAAAATGACAATAGGTAGTCGACTTATGACAATTGAGCCCCGAATTTATGTTGCTAAGCGAGACAGTTACTAAGGGAGTTTTGCCCTGTTTTACGACCTTCCTTTCCGCGGTTGTTAAGTGAATCATTGCAGCTGTCATGCTGGCCACACGGTTGTTAACTGAATCCGGCTTCCACCATTGACTTTTGCTTGTTGTGATTCCGTGCCAGCCTGTGTTCCCAACAGCTGAGTCTGAGGAATATGAGGAGGAGGTGGAGGAGGCCGTTGAGGGGCCATCAGGGGCAGAGAGAGACTCTGATGGATTGCAGGACTCAAGGCTTGATGAAGAGCCTGGGCCCTCCAGTCGTGTTTCTCATGAAGCTCAGCTGTGTGAGGAGCAGGAGTCAGATTCGGAAGGCTCACACCTGGATGAGCTAATTGATGCTCACAGACGTCGTCAAGTAGCAAGAAAACAACAACAGTCTATGCGACTACTCCAAAGTAAAAGGAGAAGGCAATGAGAGGCAACACCCTGGGACTGCTGTATAAAAAGGGAAGGTGTGGGCGTTGCTGGTTGCTGAAGGCAACCGTTTGCAAAGTGCTTCTTGGAATCCTGGTCTGTTCGTCTTGTTTGCAACGTGTTCCTGTGGACTATTTCCTTCCTTTGGACTTGAGGTTTGCTGTTTGTGTTTTGGACTTATTGACAGGATTGTCACCCAAATAAAAGGGATTTTGTTTTGTTTTAAAGTTTCCAGCCTATTGTATCAGCAGGGGTTTGGTCCTTGTGCCTCTAACAAGGACGGCAATAGGCTGGGAGAGAACACTTGTCGGAAGGTCGCCAAAGGGGATCCCATGAGCCCTGGGATGCTGCGACCGTCCTAAATCCCCAAGCGTCCGAGTTTTGAAAACATGGATCAATGGGGGGAAAACGGTCACCAGTCACAATTTTTTCAATGCCGTTGTAACGCCACTGGAGGTCACCTAACATTTCTAAAAAGATCACTCTGGAAGCATGTAGAATGGTCACTAAACAAGCTATTGTTAAGTCGAGGACTGCCTGTGCTGTTTTACTTTATATTGCTTTTCTAGCATTATTAGCCACGTGGCCTTGGAGGTGACACAAAATTTATAAGCAAGCAATTCTAGAAGCAGGTAAATAAATGGCTTCGTCAATTTGAAACAATGCACGCCATTCCATACCGAATGGTGCCCTTTAGAATTTGAAAATTGCTCCTATACGGGTGGTTTTCAAATTACGATCATTTTTTTTTTTTTTTTGGAATGACGGGAGTTACGACAGTAGCCTAAACGGTGACTTACAACCCGGTCCTCACACTTACAACCACTGCAGTATTGCTGTGCAGGCTCTGAGGTGTTGCTTGATAAAAAAAAAAAAAGTACAGGAAACCAGAAGTTGCCTTTCAGCTTTACGTTTTTATTCAGCTGAACAAAGACAGGCTCCTCTAAAAGAGAGATGACAAGAAATCCTTGTATTTATTCTTTCTGATTATAGGAGTGGCCAAAATTGTGGAAACCTTTTGGGAAAAGTGTACAGTAGAAATGCCACTTTTGGTTAAGTTTCCATCCATTTTTCTTCTCATTTCTTTATAACTGTAGGCTTGTTCACTTAATAATACTATTTTACATCGCTTTCTGGGCAAACCGTCAACTCTTTGCACCATGACTTTAATTTTATTACGTTTTGCAAGCTCACTGAATGAAAGAAAAAACCCAACCAACTTGATAGCGATCTCATAACACACTGACAAATGTCCTCCTCTGAGCTTCAATGCGTGACATCGATAACTGGATCCTACCGTGATCTGATTGGCTCATTGCCAAAACAAGATGACGCCCGATTGGCTCTCTAAACACTCGTGCTCATTGGCTACAATCAGATGAAGGAAAACTACCTGAGATCAACCTAAGCAAGTTGTGCTTCCTTTTTCTGGTTATTTGGCTATAACCTTTCATAGAATACAGATAATTGAACAAACTTTGTTGCGTTACATTCTTGATTAATTTATCTTTCCATTGATATATACAGTAATTTTATGGTACTACTTCCCCCTCCAAAAGTGGTGCTATTAGCCATCCAACCTCAAAAATACACTTTTTCCCAAAAGGTTTCCACAATTTTGGCCACTACTGTACATAAGCAATCCACCCAGCAAAGCTGACACACACATAAGATAAAGGCGCCTGAAGGCAGGACAAGAAGCAACGGGTGGAAGCTAACCAAAGAGAAAAGCAACCTAGAACTAAGGAGAAACTTCCTGACAGTTAGAACAATTAACCAGTGGAACAACCTGCCTCCAGAAGCGGTGAATGTGCCAACACTGGAAGTTTTCAAGAAGAGACTGGACAGCCATTTGTCCGAAATGATATAGGGTTTCCTGCCTGAGCAGGGGACTAGATGACCTCCAAGGTACCTTCCAACTTTACTTTACTACTATTACTACTACTAGATTTCGCCCAGTAAGTCTGGCACCCTGTAGATAAGAAGGGAGAAAGCCGAAGGAGCTAAAAATGTTCCCTTTGGGGCGTTTCCCTAAAGACATCGTACGTTCCCGGGTGGGTTAGGACATGGGGTGTTTTCCTTGCTGTCCTTTGGTGACCCTACATCCAGGACTCTGCAAGTGCCCAAAGACAGCGGGGCCATCTGCACACGTTCACAAGTGATACTTTCCTATGCTGTCTCCTAATTCCAGGTCAACAGTATCCCTTCGGTCACGTGATCAAACTTCTGCCACTTGGCAACGGGCATTTCATGATGGCAATTGCAGCATCCCAGAATCATGTGATTATGACTTTATAACCCTTCCCAGCTGGCTGCTGACAAAGAAATTTTTCAGGGCTGAAATATCACACTCTCCAAGCTGTATTTCGCGTGTGGGCACACAGGCCGGGCCCTTCAAACTCAAAGATCCCACTAAAGTCGAAGAGAAACCGTTGGATCGGACCACTGTCATAGATGGGAAGACGCCCACGTACCTGTGACGCACAAGTATGCCATTATATATCGCTTCTCAAGGCCATCTTTGTAACTCTGAATTGCACCATAGATGGGAGGGAGAATGAAAATCAAGTTGCTAACGGTGTTCCCTGTGGAGGAAAAAAAAAACACAAAACACAAAGCACAAGGCGTGAAACAAAACTTTAAGATGATTTACAGCCTATTCATTAAAAAAAAAAAAAGGACATTTCTGAGAGCAGAATTACCGAGGCTCTCAGCTCTCTTTTCCTACAATTAGGCGATGAATTGTAGATTATAATACATAAATGAATGACTGGGGAGGGGAGAGAGCAGAGAAGCTTGGAATGACCTCAGCGGGCCCAGCGGTAGACAATATATATTTCACTTATCTTTGACAACAAAATCATTTCCTTTACAATAAGGGAAACGAATGGTTGTTCTTCCGCATTCCGCGTTAAAAGAAACCGGCGCAGTCATTTTTAAAAGCAATGTTATGAACCTTGGCCAACAGTCGGGACAATTACGTCATTTTCAGCGGTGTTTCAACCCATTTTTAAACATTTTTTTTGGGGGGGGGGATATTTTTTTTAAAAAAATTGCTGCCAATTCCCAAGGGTCTCTGGACAGCTAACACAGAGAGTCCTCGAATCACGGACCGAAATCGAGACCCCAAATTTCCACGGCTAAGCAAAGCGGTCGTTAAATGAGTTTTTCCCCATTCGGCCTTTTTTTTTTAAAAATCACAGTAGTTAAGCGAATCGCTACAGCCGTTAACTGAACTGTACGTCGTTAAGCGAATCGAGCTTCCCCCGCTGACTTTGTTCTCGGAAGCCGGATGGGAAGGTCGCAAAAGGGGATCACGTGAACCCCGGGACACTGCAACCGTCATAAATACATGCCAGTTGCCAAGCGCCCAAATTTGATCACGTGACCCGGGGCGGTTGCTACATTAATCGTAAGTGTGAAAAATGCTCAGAAGTCACTTTTTCAGTGCTGCTGTAACTTCGAACGTCACTAAAAGAATGTAAATCGAGGACCCAGATAGGCTGACTTTGTAAACGGCTTAGAGAGGCTGTAAAGCATTATGAAGTGGTATATAAGTCTAAGTCAGTATTTCTCAACCTTGACAATTTTAAGGCATGTGGACTTCAACTCCCAGAATTCCACAGCCAGCAATGCTGGCTGTGGAATTCTGGGAGTTGAAGTCCACATGCCTTAAAATTGTCAAGGTTGAGAAACACTGGTCTAAGTGCTATTTCTTTCTCTTTCTTTCTTTTCTTTCCCTTCTTTCCCTTCTCTTTCTTTTTTCTTTCTTTCTTTCCTTTCTTTTCTTTCCTTTTTTTCTTTTCTTTCTTTCCTTCCCTTTTTCTTTCTTTCTTTCCTTCCCTTTTTTCTTCTTTCTCTTTCTTTCCTTTCCCTTCTTTCTTTCCTTTCCCTTCTTTCTTTCTTTCTCTTTCTTTCTTTTCTTTTTTCCTTCTCTTTCCTTTTTTTTTCTTTCTTTTTCCTTTCTTCTTTTTCTCTTTCTCTTTCTTTCCCTTTTCTTTCTTTTCTTTCTTCCTTCCTTTTCCTTTTTCTTCCTTCTTTCTTTCCTTTTCTTTCTTTCTTTCTCTTTCTTTTCTTTCCCTTTTCTTTTTTCCTTCTTTCTTTTCTTTTTTCCTTTCCTTCTTCCTTCCTTCCTTCCTTCCTTTCCTTCCTGTGGCACAGTGTTAGAATGCAGGGTTGCAGACTAACTCACTGCCCACAGCCAGGAGTTTGATCCTCACCGGTTCAAGGTGGATTCGGCCTTCCATCCTTCCGAGGTCGGTAAAATGAGGACCCGGATTGTTGGGGGCAAATATGCTGACTTTGTAAACCACTTACAGAGGGCTGTAAAGCAGTGTAAAGCAGCATATAAGTCTTAAGTGCTATTGCTATTTACCTGTATGTTTGCCACTTTGCATCGACCAAACTATATAAAAGCTGGGGAAAAAATCTAATAAAAATCACAACAACGACAACAATATCCAGTCGTGGGAATCGGAGATTATGCACGTATAATTTTAGACCTCGGTGCTTCCTCCCCTCGCCAAGTTCTGATGACAAACACTTTTCAAAAAGCCACACTAAGCAACCCAGCGTAATCACAACTCCTTGTGATGTTTTGCTTGCGGGCGGTGATTAAGAAAGATATCCTCAATCTATCTGGGAAAGTATAATTAACTCCAAAGCCAAAGTAGTCACTGAAATGACATTCAAGGAGCTCTAGGCGGATAAAACACTGGGAGGAAAACGCCGCAGGAATAATATTTACGGGATTGAGCAAGGAACTCCATTGTCTTCCAAGCTCGCATCGATGCAAATTTCCTTCCTTCCCAAGTGGGCAACTTTAGAGAATATCTGTAGTTCTGGATTGAACGATTAGAGGCAGCCCTTGACTCAGCAACAGTTCGTTTCATGACCGTTCCAACTTACAACGGCACTGAAAAAAGGGGACACGAGTGTTTCTCACCCTTACGACCGTTGCAGCATCCCCGGGATCACGGGACCCAAATTCAGACGCCTGGCAATTGATTCGTATTTATGACCGCCGTGTCCTGGGGTCCCGTGATCCCCTTTTGCGACCTTCTGCTCGTCGGGGGATCACGGCGGTAATAAATACGAATCAATTGCCAAGCATCTGACGAGCAAAGTCAACGGGGAAGCCAGCTTCACTTAACAACTGCGTTTCTAGAAACGGGGAGGCACCATGCTTAGAATGCAACACGGCAAGCTAATTCACTGCCCACTGACAGGAGTTCGATCCTGACCGGCTCAAGGATGACTCGGCCTTCCATCCTTCCCAGGTCGCTAACAGGAGGACCCAGATTGTTGGGAGTCAATAGGCTGACTCTGTAAACCGCTCAGAGAGGGGCTGTAAAGCACCGTGAAGCGGCATATAAGTGTAAGTGCTATTGCTATTGCTACTAAGAATCAGAATAGAGCTGGAAGGGGCCTTGGAGGTCATCTAGTCCAGGGCTTTTCAACCAGTGGTACGGGTACCACCTGTGTTACATTGGCACCTGGCAGGTGGTACGCAACCATCCTAGGAAAGTGGTAGCGGGGGAGGGGAATGAGCTGAACCGGTGGCAGCACCGCACAAGCCTGAGCGAGAGACGGCTGGAGCTGCAGGGCTGTCAGGGCTCAGCGGAAGCGCCAGGATCAGCACCAGGATCCAGCTGGAGCTCAGCGCTGATCCTGGCGCTTCCGCTGAGGCCAGAAGAAGCTCCGATCAGCTGGAATGTTGCAGCCTCTCCAGGGTCTTCTGATTTACATTCAGATGCTTGGCAACTGATTCATATTTATGACGGTCACAGTGTCCCAGGGTCATGTGAAGGGACCAAAACCTGCTGCAACCACCCAGCAGACGGGGGGAATAAAAACCAAACACCCCCCCCACCCCACCCCCGCTGCCAGTCCCCAACAGAAATGCTCACAACAATGGAAACCTCGGACAGGAGGAAGAGCGCAGCCGGGCGGGCAGGCAGATGTCTTGCTCGGCTGTGACTTGGGGGGCACTTTTTTCAGTGCCATTGTAACTTCGAACAGTCATTAAGCGAACTGTTGTAAGTCGAGGACTACCTGTACTTTATCACTTTTTTCCTTTTTTGGGGGGGTCATCAAGTTTTTGACCCCTTGCTAGGCGACTGGTGGTACTCGGATGCTGCATATCCTAAAAGTGGCACAATGGGTGAAAAGGTTGAAAAGCCCTGCATTAGAGGGTAGATCTAATTAAGAAAAAAAAAGGCAGATTCAGAGTGGCTGTGTTTCCTCCAGCCATTTTAGACAAAGACCCACAGCAAAAGATTTATTAGTCTTAAACCCGTTCTTAGTACGAAAAAAGCAGGGCTGGCAGGTTGAAAAGCCCTGTTCTAGTCCAACCCCCTGCTCAAGCAGGAGACCCTACACCATTGCAGACAAATGGCTGTCCGGTCTCTTCTTGAAAACTTCCAGTGATGGAGCACCCACCACTTCTGGAGGCAGGCAGTTCCACCGGTTAATTGTCCTCGCTGTCAGGACGTTTCTCCTTAATTCCAGGTTGCTTCTCTCCTTCGTGAGTTTCCATCTCTTGTTTCTTGTCCTTCCCTCTGGGAAACTAACTTAACAACTGTAGTGATTCAGTGAACAAGATGTAAACCGGGGCAAATTTTAACAACTTGGCAACAGAAATGTAGGCCTCATTTGTGATTGTTAAGTTTCATTACCCAGATAGGCACGCTCATTTCTAGCTTGTCAAAACAGGAAAGCGGTCATGGGGCGATAAGAGAAAAGCTAAAGCACTTGTCACTTGGACTGGGAACGCCATCCTGCAGGAAAACAACCAAGCTCAGAGAACGCAACAACGACAACTCGACAAAAGGCACAACTGCAAGCGAACAAGGACACAGATCATCCACTACTTCTGTCGCGATGAGCTGTCCACCCCATCAAGAGATAGGGATTGAACAATTAAGTTTTAGGAGGATAATATATATATTAATATATATATATATATATATATATTGCTTAACAGAACTGGTTACTCATCGTTTGAAGCAGTTTACATTTAAATTTAGAAACTTTAAAAAAAAAAAAAAGACTTATAAGGCTGCCCAGCTCAAACAACATGACTCTGGGCAGCGCACGGCCAAAAACAAAACAAAACAATAAACCATCCACCAATCCCCATATAACATGAAACATATACCAGATATACAGGAGGATCTGGACAGACTTGAACACTGGGCGCTATCTAACAAAATAAAATTCAATGGTGAAAAAAGCAAAGGTCCTACATTTAGGCAAGAAAAACCAAATGTACAGGTATAGTATAGGGGGTACCTTGCTCAATAGCAGTAACTGGGAAAGGGATCTCAGAGTCCTAGTGGACAATAACTTAAATATGAGCCAGCCGTGTACTGCAGCTGCCAAAAAAGCCAATGCAATCCTAGGCTGCATTAACAGAGGGAGAGAATCAAGATCACGTGAAGTGTTAATACCACTTTACAAGGCCTTGGTAAGGCCACACTTGGAATACGGCATCCAGTTTTGGTCACCACGATGTAAAAAAGATGCTGAGACTCTGGAAAGAGTACAGAGAAGAGCAACAAAGATGATTAGGGGACTGGAGGCT